TGGTGACCCCCAACCATAAAATTATTTTTGTTGCTACTCTATAACTGTAATTTTGCTACTGTTATGAATCGTAATGTAAAAATCTTTTTGTTTTCTGATAGTCTTAGGTGACCCCTGTGAAAGGGCCATTCGACCCCCAAAGGGGTCACGACCCACAGGTTGAGAACCGCTGGTCTATAGTATAGCCTTCCTTAAACAAATTGTCACGTGATCCTTATCTGCAGTGGCACTGATGAGATTACTTAATTTGTTCAATAAGTGTTTAGGACAGCAGCTGACATACATTGAGTAAATATTAGTTTCTGCTTAGAGACTGGATCAAAATCTTTTATCAGGAAGTATCTGAATCAAAATGTGGTTCATTGGCTACATTTCACAGGGGTCAGTGGCTCTGATTTATATGTTTTCTGAGTATGAACTTTCTAATACAAGTTCTTCATATGTATGTATCTAACATCATCTTGAAAAGATTTTTCTTTAATAGAAATCCAACAAACCTTACTTTTTCATTTTATAGGTCTGATCTTATATTACCATCTCTCTGAGCCTCCTTCTCATCTGAGAGATTCCCAGACACTAAAATAAATAAATAAATACATACATACATATACAGACCTTTGATCACATAATCCATTTTTTTAATTTGAAGGTTAAACCATGTTCTGTTCAAAACAAAAAAGATGGAAACACAAGTTTAAGTTTGATCCATTTATTGTTGTTGCCACTTATGAGTATATTCTCCCAAATCTCTGCCTTAAGTACCAATGATGCTTTTTTACTTGAAACACGTGTCCATTTCTAGTTCCTTGTGCCGAAATGTTTTCTTGGAATGTTAGGTACCTCTCAGAAAACAGAGTCATAATGTGTAAAATGAAATGTGGGAGTGACATTTCTTACATCACATGAAATTCACTGAAATGCCACTAGAGATAGTCCTTCTTTGTAGTTAGAGAGCTTAAAGTTTCTATTTTATGTACAATAGAAAAAGGAAATGTGAATTATATAAAATTTAAGTGTAACTAAAAACAAAAATATATCTTAAACATTCATAGTACAAATTTGCAAAGCTTTCATATGAGCCATAAAATCTTAGAAATTATTGTAAAACTGCTTTTGTTCTTTTTCTCCATTTTCCATAGGTTGATTGCTAAAGTATTTGTCTTCGTATTATATGACATTAGCGTTCAGTTAAAGAACAGTGGTAATAAAAGAGGACTGCCAGAGCTTCAAAAGGTGATATTAAAGAAAACATGATAATTAGAAAAAGCAGACGTCCAAACATTAAAATTCTGATTAATATTAGATTAAATGAACTCTTAGCCCTGGTAAATCAATTTTCAAAAAAAACAAGCACTTATTGTCCTTCAATTTTTATATCCAATAATGGCATCAAACCTAATATTCATCTTTCGCTTTAAAATTGTCATGAAACGCTCAGGAAAGATCCTAAAAGAAAGATACATGAAAATAATTAGGAAATTAATATTAAGTGCAATTGTAAGATATCATCTCTTAAAATACTTGCTTATCACATATCATGTCCATGTTGATTTTAAATAAGATTAAGAACTTGAACACAGTCACTTCTGCACGTTCTTCCCAGTTAAATCCATTTTTGTTTCAAAAGGAAAAGGAAGGGGGCTTAACATTCTTTAGGGTAGAAGTGATTTGAAATATTTAGTTTTGAAATAAACATATGCCTCTATTTTTCAAAAGATCTAAGGGAGGAGGTGTATAGAACTGAATAGTTGAGATGCTAAAGGCTTTTTAAAAAAAGGAAACTGACACTGGAAAGGAAGCGAGAAGAGGAACTAATTTTATATTTTATAGTCCAGGATATTATTAAAACGCTTCACTAATAGATGAGGGAAGTAGAATTGCTAAGTGAAAATGCAGACCACAGCCTTGGCTTTGAGCATACTGCTGAACAAGCTATTTAACTTTTGACTTCAAATTCCTCATATGTAAATGGAAAAATGAACACCTACCCCACAGTGTCCTTTGCAGAATCAGTGTATTAATATAAAATACCTTAAACAGTGATAGACATGTAGTAGGTTTAATGTTTCCCCCCCCACCCTATACTTAAAAATATTGAGGAACTTATCACATTCCAATGAGTTTGAGAGAAACTGAACAGAATATGTAAGTCAGTATAACTTTATACAGACATTGGCCTAGATGACACTAAAATAAAGTTTGGAAATTGAGCAACAAACATTCCTTGTCAGAGGAAAATCAGGGCAATGATAATAATAGTAGTAATTATAAAAATAATAGTGGTATATAACATTTATCGAATATTTATAGCATACTAAATATTTTATGTGCATTATTTTATTTATTTCTCACAGCCCTGTAAAGTCTTGTTATTGTCTCCATGTGACAGATGAAGAAACTGAGCTTCAAAGAAGTTAAATAACATTCATGTTCAAACTGTAAACATGTCACACAAACATAGCTTCATCTAATTTGAGTCTCTATGTTAAAAGTCTAGGAATAGAATTAATTTATTCAATCAGCAAACATTTTGGTGCCTATGTGTCCATCAACTCTTCAAAGTGCAGGAGCTATAGTGATTAAAAACAGGCAAAATTCCTTCCCTCACATTCTAAAGGACTATAATAAGTAATGCTTACCTATGTGATGTGACAAGTAAAATGCTAAACACTTCACAGGTTTTAACTTGATTTTTACTCACCAAGGAGATCCTTGGGCTTTATCACCTAAACCTCTAAGGTATGTTCAACCACAATTCCTAGAAGAAGGGGCTAAAAACCCTGACACATGCCACTTATGTTTTTGATCTCTAATTTGTTTTCAGTCTGTGGGTCAGTAACTCTCAAAGTACGATCTTAGAACTAACTACCTGAGGCAGTTGCCTGTTAAAATACAGGTTTCTGGGTCCTAGCTAAAACACCCTGTATTAAAATCTTGAGAGGTGAGATCTAGGAATCTATTTTTTAAGTCAACTTCCCAGGTGATCCTGATACCATTATCACATTGGAGAAGCCTGACTTATAGGACGGGCAGGAAGAGGATTTTTTTTTTTTAAACCTAAGGTACCTCTTCAGTTTCCCCTCATCACAGCTTTTCCAATGAGTCATGAGGCAACGTGTTATGATGAGGCATTCTTTAAACCAGCAGTTTCGCATCTTGACTGTACACTAGGATCACCAGGAAAGTTGCTGTATTATTTAGAGAACTGACCACACTCCAGGCCAAATAAATCAGAATCTTGGGGGGTAGGTCTCAGGCATGAGCATTTTTTAAAACTCCCAGGTGAATTCCAATGTGCACCAAAGTTGAGAGCTACTGCTCTAAATAAATGCTTCTAAATCTGAATATGCATACAAACCACCTGTGGATCTTATTAAAATGCAAATTCTGATTTAGGAGATCGGGAGATTCTATATGTCTAACAAACTCCCAAGTAATGCTGCTGCTGCTGGTCCATGGACCACATTTGAAACAGCAAGGCTCAAGAATCTCTAAATTTATTAAAGATTATTTAACAATTCCTATGCTTCAGGGTGATTTTGCACAAAATAAGAGCTCAATGATTATCTGTTATATATTTACATTTAATTATACATCGAAAACCTATCGATGGCCTCCTCCAATATCATTATTCTGTGATTCTATTATGTAGTAATATTTAAAAACTATCCTTCTTCATTTCATATACATTCATTTAAGGTAAGACTTCCAGAAATATGCAAATTTCTTTCTTTAAAAAAATATTAAGAATTTGTGGAAATTATTCAGTTCATTTACCCAACTACTATATCAATCTTGCTTCTTCAATGATTAACAAGCGTAGTTTAAAAACTGATGGATTCTTTATGTCTATTATCTTTGTTAACTTAATTCCACTTAATTGTACTTTATAAAAATTTGGTTTTAACCTGAGTAAAAACATGTAATAAATACTTATAATGCTAACAAACATAACTGTTGCTTACCTTTCCACCATTGTTAAAAAGCTTATGGAAGATGGAACAAAAATCATTTTCTGCTCAGTCAGGATCCCATTCATCAGCTTGTTTACCACTTCCTCAGGTTCCAGGGTGGGTCCCAAACTGAAATCAGAAGCAGTCTTCAGAAACAAATCATTTCAGCGAGGCTTCAGCTTTAGTTCAGCGCTCAAAAAATAAATTACCATACAAACCATGGAAGAACTGACATAGCATCCAGCCCATCATAGGTGCTCAAAAATGGTAGAGGCTTTAGCATTGACAACAATAACAACAACAGCCGTTTAGCTAGTGCTTCTCATGTACTGCACACTGTGCTAAACATTCTACACAGGTTATCTCAATGAAGTTTTACAATAACCCTACAAAGGAGAGACTATAGTCCTTATTAAGCAAATGAGACACATAGAAGCAACTAGGACTCAAAAATCATATAGCTCGATTAAGACGGACAAATTCACTTTTAAATCTTTAGAAGTCTTGGGAAAGAAGTTAGATACCATTAAACTTTTTTTATATATAATTTCTATAATCTTTTCTTCCTTTTTTTTTTTTTTAAGTTGGGGAATTGGGGGAAGGGGAACAGACAATTGCTGCCCTTTTGTTCTTCAGTCTAGTTGTAGAGGATGTTGCTTCACTGGCCCAAGTTGGCACCATCATTGCGCTCTTCCCGGGTGAGGCAGATCNAAAAAAAAAAGGAAAGAAAAAAATTCAGTGGTCAGGTTGCCTCTAAGATCAAGTGGGAATTCTTATCTATTTTGGGGAAAGATGTGATGTCCAGTGTAGATTACGACTATCCCAATATTGGGGCGGCTGGTTAGCTCAGTTGGTTAGAGTGCAGTGCTCATATAACACCAAGGTTGCTGGTTTGATCCCCATGTGGGCCACTGAGTTGCGCCCTCCACAACTAGACTGAAACAACTACTTGACTTGGAGCTGATGGGTCCTGGAAAAACACAGTTCCCCAATTAAAAAAAAAAAAGACTATTCCAGTATTTTCAGGCTCAGTATTTTAATTTCAGGAAATTAGATTTTTGACATTGGACCAGTCAGAATGGACTTTTTTCAAGTAGAATAGTTGGGCATCTGCGCTGTAGCATTTTATTTCACCTTAAAATAATTCCTAGACGAAATACCTTCAATTGTCGTCAGAGATTTTCACTGGCTGATTTTGGAATACTGTTTGAATACCAAGGAAATCTTGGGTAAAAGGAAGCACAGGATGATTAGGGTGATGGTTCAACTCTCCAAGAATTCCACTGAAGCTGTGTGATAGTGAGGCCAGCAACCTTGCACTCAGATCCCCAGCTTGACCTCTGAGTAGCTGTGTGACTTTAGGTAGTTTGTTGAAACTCCTTGGGCTATAGTTACCTCATCTATAAAATGGGCATAATGGTGCCACACACAGAGAACTGCCCAAGGGAGTAAATCTGCCAGCCAACTTGGAGAAGATGCTGTTAATAATTGCTCCCCTTCCCCATGGTAAAAATCCTTATTAGCCATTTACTCACTAGCCAAGTTGGTGTTGAGGATATACTACAAGTGAATTTTGGCCTGATTCCACACCCTTTCTAATTCTTGTTTCCCATTAAAAAAGAGTAGATTTCTGGCAAGTGAGAATAGTGGCATGGGGATGGGGCAGGGAAGAGTGTTTCTGAAAGTGAGCATGTGAACCTTTTCACAGGAAATAGAAGAGAGGCCAGTGAATCCTAGCAGTCCTGTGGCAGGGCCCCAGCGTGACAGCAAGGGATCCGAGGAAGGCTCTGTGGTGTGTCCACAGAGGACAGGTTCCTTGCCACAGTCAAGATTTCTGTACCCCGCCAAAGAGAGAGCCATCTGTCATCAAGGTCCTAGTTTAGGACCAGTGTACCATGATAGCTGACATTAGGAGTCTTTCCCCATTTACTCCAAGACAACGTAAGCTTCTTTGATTTTTTATGTGACCCTTAGAAGTAGTCCTGTTGATGGCTGAGATGGATTTTCCCACTAACCTGTTAGTGGGTTCAGAGTTAGGATTAACTTCATTCAAATAACAGTTATAAGTTTTCAAATTTAGAGTCACCGCAGTAATTGCCTGATGTAGGTGAATTGGAGCAAGTTTGTTTAAAAAATGCAAAGAAATTCAGAACCCCTACAGCATTCATTCCATCAGTCACTTTCCAGCAGAGAAGGGCTCCAGCCTCTAAGGATCGCGGTTCCTGCTTACTGCTGCTGTGTTCACAGCTGTTTCAAGTCCTTCACCCACGCCTACACAGGATTGCAGGGGAGATTAGATGGCAAACTGTGCCTCGCACATAGTTAACATGCAATAAAAGGAACTGGTTACCATTTTGTCAGCATAATATCCAAGAAGTAATACTTATTTCTCAGAGAATACTGAAGGCCTAAGTTCATCCAAGTTTTCATTTCAGACTGGTGTGTAAAGAGCCAAAATATGTTTTTTGTGAAAAGGGGGAAGTTGTCAGTACACTTTGGGCCCGTTATCTTACTGAAGTTTCACTAACGGCTTTCTCCTAGCCTACTTCACAGTTTCACTTGGCAAGCTGGAACAGGTGTAACTTAATGAAAAGCATAAACAATTACATCTATTTCAAAATGAGTTTGCAGCTGACTGTAGCAGACTCTAGGCCTTCTAGTGTCATTCTCACAGATACTCTTAACAGTGTGCTGCTACAGTATGGCTAATGTATGGAGAGGAATCTAAGTTACAGTATTCAAATGTAATGTTTTAAAAAGCAGGCATTTTTGACTCAGAAGTCTTTATATCAACCTAATGTTGACTATAGCCAAACAGTAAGTGTATTTTGATTATCTGTATTACAAGAAGGTAATTGATGGGAAAGAGGGAGAAATTTATTGTAGGGATGATATTGTCTATGAAATTTTCTTATATGGTCTAGTGTCTATAGCAGCGGTTCTCAACCTTCATAATGCCGCGAACCCCTTAATACAGTTCCTCATGTTGTGGTGACCCCCAACCATAAAATTATTTTTGTTGCTACTCTATAACTGTAATTTTGCTACTGTTATGAANCTTCCCTGGAGAGGAAGATCAGTCGCCAGCTTCTGGATGGCCACTCACTGCGGCTGCTGGCCACTCACGCTGGCTGCTGGCTACACACGGTAACCCATGGCAACCCACTGCCACAGGGACTGCAGCCTACACCGTCGCCAGCGACTCACGGCAGCCCAGCTCCAGGTTGAGCTGTTGTTCAGCATGTTAGCTGTGGAGGGCAGTGTTCACTGGCCCTCATATGTGGGATCCGAACCGGGGCCCTCTGGCATCCCAAGCGAGTTCTTAACCATCGCACCACTCTGCCGGCCCCCCATTCTTGTTTTTTAGCTGAGCCATCCTGCTACCTGTTGGCAGCTCAGCTCAGGCCAGGAATCAAACCCGCGACCCTGTTGCTCAGAGCTCGCACTCTTGAGCGAGCTCTTAACCAACTGAGCCACTTGGCTGGCCCTGTCCCCATTCTTGAACTGTTTTATTCCAAGTTAGATGTTACCTTCTGAGTAGAGTCATTCTGCGAGTGTGAGAAGAAAGCTAGAGCTCAAAAGAATTTATATGATATTGTAATTGATGGTGAGTAGGAGGTATAAAATGGTGAAAAGAAAGGTTGGCATTAAGCCATTATTAGGCATATAATCTCTTCAAATCAATACTTGTTTTTTCTTTCCTGAAGGGGTTCAATAGTTTATCATCAGGGGTTCTCTGTACTGTCAAATTGATAAAGCAGTGTTAGGTAGTCTTAAAGATCATGTAAACTTCTCCTTGAGATTCCAAAACCTAGTATATATCCAAACAAACAAATCCCAAAGTCATATCTCATAGACAGCCTCAGCATATTTTTGGTTTATAAGACCCTTGCTTTATCTCTATATATCAATCCTACTTCTTTCCCTGCAATAACAAAGAAAGAGTCCTGTTCTCTGTGGTCTGCTTCTCAACCTTTCTTTCCTTGTTTCTTGAATTATTATTCTTTAATTAATTCCAATCTCTTCCTGCCTACAGGACCTGTTTCTTTTGCTTTCAATGATTTCTGATTTCTCATATCATAAAAATATTCAGTTAACATCTTTACCCGCCCATCCCCATTTGCCATCTTGTCTCTGTAACTTCCTGTCAAATTAATCTATGGTGATTGCCTCTGCTCTCTGGCTACCCATTTCCTTGGGAGGATAGACATCTTTTACCCCTCTATTCTCCAGCTGGTGCAAAGTTCTACGACCGTCTTAAATACAAGGAGCTATGTGAGCTCATAGGAAGGGAAAATCACCCAGATGTGAAGATAGAGGTGGGAGATGAGCCATAAATGGGACCTAAAGGGTGAGCAGGGGTTTGGCAGATGATGAAGGGAATAAGTGCTGCAGATGTAGGAAACCATGCAGATATAGGCACCAGGAGGTAAGAGATTGTGGTGCATTCAAGGAATAGGAAATTCTGTCTTGGAGATAGAGAAGTTAGAGGACGTAGCAGAGGACCAATTACTCAGTCTTAGCATTAGTGAGAGCTAGTAAAAGATTTTGAGTAGGGGACTGCTGTCATCAGATTTAGAAATGCTGCAGGATGCAGAATGCATTGGAAGAAGGACAAAAACAGATGGAGGGAGACCAGTTAGGAGGCTTTTCATGAACCTGGGCTAGAGATGATGGTGGCCTGAATTAGGAGAGAGAATAATAGAAGACATGGGCATTCATTATATATACACATACATATATATATGAACAGCTGGTATGCTTTAGGGACTGTTCCAGGCATTAGGGATACAGCAGTGAATAAAATACATAAAAACAAGTCACTTCCCTTGGGAAGCTAATGTTCTAAGGCCGGTGTAGACAATAAAGATTAATAAGCAAAGAATACATATTCTCCAAGTGCCAAGGAGAAAAATAGAGAACAGAGGGAGAAATGGAATCTTGTCGGATATGACTGTGGGCCTGTGTAGGCATAGTTGCAGTTTTAGGTATGGGGTGAGAGGTGCTGAAAGGACTTAAAGGAAAAAAAATGTAAAAGGAAAGAGGAGGTTAGGCTTGTGAATATCTGGAGGAAGAGCATCCTAGAGAGGAAACAGTAACATACAAATTCTTGAGATGGGACACATGTC